CAGGCTACAATCAATAAAACAAAATTAGATCTTTACTGAATAGAATAAAATTGGATTATGGAATCAAGCTGCAAACATTGTTCAGGTATGAAATTAAGCTGCTGATATTGCTCCTTTAGGAATAAAAAATAAACTCCAATTTCAGCGAGCAACTAAAAATAGACAACAATCGACCATAAGTTTATTAATATAATGTAGGTCGCAACACCTATGACATTTGAAAAATGCAGAGCCCAAAGGTAGCAGAGCTGGAAATAATTATCCATCCTCTGTATGTAAGATCTGGTTTTACACAACTTAATACAAATAGCAAATGTCCATGCACTTCACTAGAAAAAGTATATTTTTCAACTCCAAAATTACATTTTAAGAAAAGAAAAGGAGAAATTTAGAGTTTACCTAAAATTATCAAAATTTGGACAACTACACGATGCTGGGGTCTATATAGACACGAAAGAGTTAATGGTGGCCTGTTTTTGGTCAGAAATCAACTTTTGGTATGCAAAAACTGACATGGTGGAGTGGGTGGACGATGGGTTTTTTGAGAGAGAGAGAGAGAGGGAGAGGAGCGAGAAGAGAGATGATGCGGGTAAAAAAAACGTTTTTATATTTTAATAGTTAACCGACAAGTTTTAAAAATGCTAAAAGGCCCTGATCTCCCTTAAGCAATTAAACCACGTGTTAGCAATTTTTCCCAAAAATAAGTGAGAAAGAAATGACAAGAGTCGGTGTACATAGGTCGGGTTGATTCGAATTTTTCAATTATCAAATCAAATTAATGATGTCGGATTTTTAAATTTATAAACCAAACCAAACCAACAAAGTTAGATTTTTCAATCTCGGTTTTTCTCGGATTTTTCGAATTTTTTTAGGTTTTCAGATTTTTTTCCGATAAAGTCTTCATAGCATAAAAATATGTAACTTGTGCTCCAAATATTTCTTAAGTCCTAGTAAAATACAATTATATAATGTGTTTTCCAAGAAACTAACACAATAATATGAGATAAGTCATAGCATTATACTAAAATATTCAATAACAAAGATAAAATAATAAAATTACATAAAATAAATATTGCTAATTAATAAGCCATAATCTAAAAATACTATATAGGTCATGGTAAAATAAGTATAGCTAATAAGTACTAATATTAATTACATAACTAAGCACTAAAGAAAAAGATAAACTAAGTTATGCATTTTTATTATAAACCAATGTAAAACTAAAATAATTATCCAATACTATCGTCATTCCTAGTATTGAATTGAATTTCTTTTATTAGCATTAGTATTGATTTGAACTTTATTTCCGTTACTACATTTATGGGCTATAAAATTTATTTATCATTCAAGAATATTAAGTCTAAACTTGAAATAATACGTTAAAAGATAAAACTGTGAAAATGTTTAAGAAATATTTATAAATTACATTACAATAAATATTTATATGTATAAAATATTTTAAAAAATTATATAAATGTACTATCGGGTTGGTTTGGTTTCAATTTGACCTTTTTTTAGTTAAAACCAAAGCAAACCAATTATGGTTGGATTTTATTTTCCAATACCAAATCAAACCAAACCACATCATTTTTTTTTTCCGATTTGACTCGAATTATCGATTTGGTGCGGTTTATCGGTTTTCTTTGTACGCCCTTATTAATGAGGTCTTTCATACAATTCTTCTCAAGTAAGATAATGTAATTGTTAAACAAGGAAACAAAATGACCAATATGGTATTACTCTCTCCGTTCATTCTTACTTGTCTATTATGGACTTTGCACACCCTTAAAAAATAATAAATGAAGTACATAATTTACCATGATACCCATATTAATTGATGTATAATTTTAATAGATTTGAGAAAATAATTTGAAACGATTAATTAATACTCTGGATGTAACAGGAAAAAAAAATTATCTTATCTTGATATGTTAAAAATGACAAATAAAAGTGAAAATTTACTTTTAGAATAACAGACAAGTAAAATAGAAAAGAGGGAGTAGAAATGAACGTTGGAACTATATACATTTGAAAACTTGGATGTGTCCTCGTTGACATGTGCTTTACCGCCTTTGCCTAAATGATGTGAGTTCGAATTAATCAGGTAAGTAAATTTCGAAAATCCGATGATTTTAAAAAAACTTGATATGCAAGCACGTTTTTCTATTCAAATTCCAGCTCAATTTTGCTCAATAGGCCATTTCTCTGTCTTTGTATCTCTGAAACCAACCTAATATTTTGGTAAGTTGGAGCTGACAGCGGAAACGTCAAACCCAGCATACCTCCCGCATCATGTTGCACATCTTTTCTATTTTGACACTACAACCCCTTATCTCATGTGTCATTTAAACACAAAACACTACCTGTCACATTGAGTGAGATTCGTCACCCAGGTCGCGCGTGAGACAGTAAATTCACTCCCCTTTTAACGTAATTAAATATTACCGTTGAAGTATTATAATTCTGTATTGCTGTAATAATCAATTAAAATTTTTGAAAAAATAAAAAAGAAAATTAGTAATACTTGTTTAACGAAATAAATTCTGGAAAAACAGTATAAGAATAAATATCCTTAAGGAAATTATTCCCCTCAAGTACCCGAGGTGCTGGAATATATCCTCCCAGGATAGAACGATTTAACTCACAAGTGTATTGGTACCAAAAACTCTGATGAACTGCGAACCACTCAATGGTCGTAAAACACACTGAAAAATATTGTGCAGAAGAAGAAGAAGCTCAGAAAAATTTCGTAAGGAAAGATTCTGGGATTCAAACTCTATTTATAGAGTTGCTGGCATTGTTTCTGAAAAGGTTTGTAACCTTTCAGAAACAGCCATGGCTGTTAAAAAGGGGTGTTTGAAATATTGCGGGAAAAATATATTTAAAATAATCCGGGAAAGAAAACGGGCATGACCGAATCGGGTCGCGGCCGAAGCCAAAGCCGAAGCCGAGCGAGCGACGACGACGGCGCGAGGCTTGCCTTCTTCTTAACTCTTTAAGAGCTAGAAGAAGAGCAATTATATATATACCCATCAAAAGCCTTTTCTTCCTCCGATATGGGACAATGTCCCTTTCCCAAGGGAAACTCAAATATTTTATTTTTTCTCCATTTCTCATTCACCCTCTTTAAGCTACACAAGCTTAAAATCCCAATATGGAGTCCCATTATTGCCGACTTCTTCTTACCCTTTCTCCATTTTCAGATGTAAAAAGGCCCTAATTATCAAAAGCTCCATCTCCATGAATATTCAAAAGGCTGCTTTCTTTCTGTAATTTGTCAAAGCTTTAGTTGAAATAATAAAATAATCCGAACCGGATCGCGGGTCATGGGTTATTTCGGATTAAATTTTTCGTTAATTATTTATTTAATTATTTAAATAATTGAAAGGAATTTTGTCCAAAAAAATTAATCAATCAATCGATCTTTGACCAAATCCAAATCCGAATCCGAAGCCGAGCGAGCGACGACGACGGCGGCGCAAGGCTTGCTTTCTTCTTAACTCTTTAAGAGCTAAAAGAAGAGCAATTATATATATACCCATCAAAAGCCTTTTCTTCCTCCGATATGGGACAATGTCCCTTTCCCAAGGGAAACTCAAATAATTTTTTTTTTCTCCATTTCTCATTCACCCTCTTTAAGCTACAAAAGCTTAAAATCCCAATATGGAGTCCCATTATTGCCGACTTCTTCTTATCCTTTCTCTATTTTCAGATGTAAAAAGGCCCTAATTATCAAAAGCTCCATCTCCATGAATATTCAAAAGGCTGCTTTCTTTCTGTAATTTGTCAAAGCTTTAGTTGAAATAATTAAAAAATGAACCCTATTATACTAACTTTGTTAGTTTCTTCTTCTTCTTCCCTGATTTTGAGCTTGAACTCCATAGCTATTGTAACCATGTCGGAAAGCTATATCAATCTCGACAACACTTGAGTTAGCAGAATTCGAACACAAAAGCTAACAACTGAAATTTAACAACCCAGAAGCTAACAACTGAAAATGAACAACTGAACTTTAACAAATGAGTTAAAGCATCAACAATTCTTTAGTTACCAGAAGAATCGATCAAAACTAAAACTGAACGCAATGAAATACAGATGAAATTTTGAACGATATTTTGATTATCCAGCCTTCAAACAAACGGACCAACACTGAGAATCCATGGTTTCATCTCCTAGGGCTTGGGATTTTGTTTAACGGGGTGAGAAGATTTGTGTATTTTGAGAATTAGGTTAAAAGTGAAAAGCTTTAGTTTACTGAAATTGGGTGTGGTTTTTTTTTACCGGATGCGGGTTATTGTTCACGGACACGGATGCGGGTTCATATTTTCTGGCAGGGAAATACGTGGATAATAAATCCAAGTGGCAGTAAATAATTCGTTAGCTTTACATGTTGGCAACGGTTATGAAGACGCGCCTGAGTTATAAGCTCAAGTCAGTGTTTTGTGTTTAAATGACACGTGAGATAAGGGGTTGGAATGTCAAAATGAAAAAGATCGAGTTCAGTTGACAAAATGAAAAACGGGCCAACTTGGCTGCTTATGGGTTCAGCCTAAACCATATAAACTTTTCTTGACATGTTTGCTTGAGTTCCCCTCAATGAGTTGCATGAAGTATTTCACACATAATTGATCATAAATCTCAAAACTAAAAAAATGAAATTTATAGTTTTGGATGAAGGGATCCTATGCATCCACCACACTCTTTAGTATTCGATCTAAAACTTTGCACAATCGCGCTGAAATTTTCTACAAATAAATGCTTCCGAAGAAATTTTGTAATTGTGGAAGTGAACACTTAAAATTGAGGAAATGAAAGAAAAATAGAAAGAAAAAACACTTGTAATAAGATCATTTTTAGACATTTAGTTGTTGATTTTATGGATTGCTTGCATCCTACAAAACAAATATTACCAACTAAATAATCAACTTGAAAAGAAAAAAGGAGTTATTTTTGATAAAAGCATTCAATATAAAGTATTATAAATGAGGAATTCTAGGAGATATTTTACCAACTCTTTTTATTACTCATTAAAAATTAAAACCAAAAGAAATAAAAAGGATGGACAACAAGTGCAATTAAGAAGATAAAAACATCTTACATACAGTCACACACATGACCGTTTGACAAAATCAGCAATTCCCTTAATCAAATCTTTGGCTTTTTCAGTTTCAGGATCAAAGATCTGAAAGCAATGATCTTCTCCTTGCACATCAATCAACTTTATTTCCCCTTTCCACCCACTTTTCTTCACAGCTTCAACATACTGAATCCCTATATTTCTCAGCTCATCCTTCTCTGCAACACACACCAAAATCTTGGAACACCCCAGTGCTGATAAACTTGGAGCTTTTTCTACAAAAGGATTAATTCTTGGATCATCAACTCCATCTTCAGCTGATGGATTCACAAAAGCCCAAATCCTACTAGCCAAACTATCTTCCTTAAATTCACTAGATGACAAAAAGTAAGGAAAACAGAGAAAAGAACCCAAGATTTTAACTCCCCCATTCAAGCTTTCAAGACCAGACCTGAGAGATATATTGTGAACTATGTTACCTCCGGCACTATCACCCCCAATGAGTACCTTCTCAAAATCACCATGGTTCACTAACCATGGTTCCTTTTCGAATCCGGGTTTGTCAAGAACATGCGATGCGATCCATTGAAGTGCAGTCCAAGAATCTTCATAACCTGGCGAAACCATAATTAAGTAATAAAAATATACTCTTTCTAATATTTTAAAATTTTATATGAGATATAGTCGCAAAACTCAACATCGTATTAGTATAATAGCAGTCCTGGATTCAAGTTAATAAAAAAATATTGGCAAAATAACCTAATAAATACTTGTACTTGTTCGCATTTGTCATTCTGATACACTTATAGTTGTTCAAAGTCAATATTTTGAACCTCTCTCATCATTGACCATGCATATATGGCAACTTAATTGGTGAGTTGTACAAAATGCGTATATTTCACGCGTACAAGGAGCGTGATTATAAATATTTAAAATAAAAATAATTTTTTTAAAAAAATAAAATAAAAAATTAAAAAACATAAGTTTCTTTCTCGGTTTTATCCCACTCCCTCCCTGTTTATTTTTCTCTTTATCCCTCTCACCTTTCCGTCTTCCCCAAGCCCTTTCCCCATTTAATTTCTTTTTCTTTCTTCCTTCGGCCCTTGCTCCATTTTTTCTGCTCCCTTCTCGTTCTTTCCCAGCCCCTTTCCCATTTCTTTTTCTTTATCTTTTCAAAATATCTTTGATAGATCTGATTTCATTTTGCATGATCCAGTTATTTTTTTGTTTGCCATTATTTTTTGCTTTGTACATATTTATTTTCAGTACAAAATCGTGCAATTTGATTGATAAAAATCTTTATTTTTTATTATTAATAAAATCGTGACGATGGATGGGAAGTGATGAGTGAAGGAATGAAGATTGTCGAAAATAAGAAATGAGTAACAGAATTAGGTTGGTACTATGGCTAGCTTGATGTGTTTGGGAGAAGAAGAAAAAATAGTATAGATAAGATATTTAGGGAGAGTGTTCATGGTGTTCTCTGGTAGCCAAGACGAAAGTGATGGTAGAAAAGAAAGAAAAATTAAAAATAAGTTAGAAAAAGAAAAAAGATAGAAGTATAATTTCTTTTTTCATGTAAAATTAAAAGAAAAGGTTATGTCGCATATTTTATATGACATGGACTTAGCATCATGTGATTGAGAGATACGCTAAATTAAAGGGGTTTAAAATACTAATTTTAAACGATTATAAGTATCCGGATAAAACTTTGTCGAGTATAGGGACCAAATACTCAATTGTTTGGCTCACGAAAAATAATTAAGCCCAACATATTCAAGTTAAAAAAAGTGCACACGTTCCATTACTCAAACTTCTAGAGGAGAGGATCTCACAGTTGAATGTAACCTACTTACCTACTGGAAGAGGATGTTCTGGAGCAAGACGGTATTCTACTGAAATAGCAACAACATTGGATTTGGAGACTATGAGGTTAAGGTAACGTTGGTCGAGGAAAGAGAAAGCAGATTCGAGACAAAATCCACCGCCGTGATAATATACTAAGATGGGCAGTTTTTGGTCGGTGTTTTTTGTTGTGAGCTTTGGGTGGTAAATTCTGGCTCTGATTTCTGGCGAAATATCTATGTCTTTTGAGGCAACGCCGGTGGCAGGATCTTCTGGCATCGGAGGAACGATAGGTGAGCCGAACATACGCTCGACACGGCCATTCTTGTAGACACGGAGAAGTTGGGAGAAATCCACTTTCACCTCGTTGTCGCCGGAATCCATTGGTATATATGTTGTGATTCGATGGTTTTAGAGGTGCAAAGGAGAAATATATAAACAGGAAGCGTTGAACATGGACAAGAATGGGAACACGAGATGAAGTTTTATACTAATGGTAAAGAAATATTTCTTATTATTAAATTGGATAGTAGAATAGAAATATCATTTTCCATGTGTTGGGGAGGTTAAAGCTAAATGCATATCGAGAAAGATAGTCCCACAGGCCATAACTTTCTTTATAGTTTCTTATCAAGAAGAATTTTATTTTTGATATTTAGAAATAAATTAATTTTTGTTATAAATAGTATTTGATTTATGGTGAATGTTTATATTTTATAGAGATTTTAGGGTTTGTTACTTGGTGACTAAGTCACTCTTTCCCTATAAATAGAGGAGTTCTATTTTATTGTAATTCATCCCAAATCAATAAGAATTCTCTCTCTACTTTTCTATGTAATACTCGTCTTCTTCTTTTATTGTTTTATAACACGTTATCAATACGAGACTCTAACCAATTAAGTAAATGGCGGTTGTTTTAATTTGTAGATATACTATTAATTATTTGTGTAATGTTTGAGAAATTAAACCACCAGTGGAGAGAATATATAGAAATTTGCGTAAGGCTCTTGCGTGAATGCATTGATATTCATATACTAGGCATCTGCTTTGGTCACCAGACTTTGGGATACATACACGGTGCTCAACTTGTACATAATATTGAGACTAATGATTGTTAATTGTTCCATGAACTTCCTTCAGGAATAAACTCTGGATTTAAGGTAAGTATTTTACCTTATTTTTCTCTTTTAAATTCTTGATATTCTATAATTTGATTTTAAATATAAGCAATGACAATAAATTTTGACTATAACTCTAATGGAGTTTGTAAGAAATTATAACCACCCGAAGTGATAAAATATCTATGTCTTGCCATGATCAAATTCATGTATGAATGTGGGGACAAGAAGTGGAAACCCGTCCCATTAAATTTGCTTTATTCTCGTTCCCTTAAGAGATTATGGTAGCAGTATGTGATAAGTCTGAAAGAAGATAAAATTATTACTGTGAAGGTATTAATGGATGTGGACGTAGCAATAGACGATATTATAATCGCCATCATTGTGGTAATGAGAACAGTAAGAAATCTCAAAATAATCCTTCACTTTGTGAAAGTAATGTTTGTTATCGATTTGACATGAAATTTTGTAAAGCATATATAGATGATTATGGTGCATTCATGATGTGAATGTGACAACATGTGATTTATGAATACATATTCATTCTTGGAAGAATATGAACGTGCTAGTGGTAGTAAGTATATGACACTCACCTCTAGAAAGAGGTTTGAGATGAAATAAGAAAATAATTTCATTATTATGGCATGAATGATCATTGACCATGTAACTATTGTGATTATGCCAATGTGATTATTACATGGCAAAAGTAATAGAAGCAACATATCCTGTATATAATGATTTTGACCATGACCATAATGGTATAACTTTCTCCTTTGAAAGAGATATTCACCATATGGATGTTGATGGATATGTGGTAGTACAAAATTAATTGAGAGCTCTGGAAGAGCCAATTATACTATTTTGCAGAAATAAAATTGATTATCAATAATGTATGGTGTCGTATTAAGTCTCAAAGAAACTTATTGAGTTTCTAAAGTATTCGCGAAAGCGGTTAGTTATATTGAGACTATAAATAAAGGACAGATCTAATATTTTCTATTACTACAACTTGTAGTGGGATAATATGTATGTGAAAAGTTACTCACTTTATTCTCCAGTTTGTACTACACAAATAACAGAATGCCACAATAAGTAAAAATTTATTGATATAAAAATCAATATCATAATAAACTTGGAGTTTATTGATAATTGCACACATCATAGTGTAAACCTGAAGTTTATCAATATGGATAATCTATCTAGTTGGCATAATTGGTTTAGCATGTTAATTTAAGTATGATGTACAAAAATAGAAGAGAATTCACATGGGGAAATATTAAAGAACTAGACAGTTCTTTACGAATTCTCTTATGTTGCTTGTTCTCGTTAATTAGTATACCAACTAAAATTGGGATTGAATCCCATAAATACTGGAAATATCAAAGGTGAATATGAGCTCATTCACCTGCCATATAAACCTTATAAAAATACATCTATGAGATGGTTACATGTGCGTTTATTATCAACCCGCAACTTGAATGCCATGTTTCTTGCTCAACAATTTAATTTAGAACATAATTTCCAGATTTTCTATTCAAGACAGTTCATGGTGCAGCAGAGACAGAAAATGGAGTGAATCCGTCTGCACATAAACCTAACCTAATATTTCTTAGTTCGTTAGCAAAATTCGAAAATACCCTATCAAAATGCTTTCATGCTTCTCCATCTGACGTATGACATAGAATACCAGGTGGCCTTCTATTTTCATAGTGCCATCTCATATGAGGAGCAGAGCGCATTGATGCGTACAGCCTCTTTAACCTACGTATAAGGGGTAAGTAATGCATCGCCTTACCTGAAACTTTCTTCTTTTTTGAATTTATGACTTCCTTGTAACGAGGTTGGTTATAAAATTTACAATTTTCTAAAGTTGCATCATCCTTATAGAATAACATGCAACCTTTCTCACAACAGTCAATTCTCTCTGACGAAAGTCCTAACTTAGAGATCAATTTCTTTGCTGTACAGAAATCTTTGGGTAGGTCAATTTTATTCGGATTAAGTTTATTCATAAGGCCAATTATAGGGTCTATGCCCGCTTGAGAAATACTCAAATCCGATTTAATACTTAATAATCTAACCGCAACAGACAACTTAGAATGCATTGAACCTTCATACAATGGTCGACTTGCTTCTTGTAACTGTTTATAGAAGTGCTTAGCATCATCATTTGGTTCAGACTGAGCCCTCGGGTGCATCACAAAAGCATCCCTAACCATTTCATTGAAACGAGAATTTTCAGTATTATTCTATGCTAATGGACTACTCTCACTACCAAAAAAATTTTGAAACTTGACATCACCAACACTAGCAACATCCTCTCCATGAATAGTCCACACGTAATAATTTTTCATAAACTCTTTTTTGTAAAGATGAATTTTAACATCTGGTTGCAATAACTTTTCACACTTGCATTTCACACAAGGGCACCTAATCGCCCCTTCACTGAGAAATTCATGAAGTGTTTTCGCTTTAGCCATAAATTCAGCAACTCCTTTTATAAATTCCTCCCTCAACCCAGTACGATTAAGTTATGTTCGATTATATATCCATTTACGACATGCAAGCTCCATCTACACAAAATAAATCCAAGATATTTAAATCAATATTACTTAGTGTTATGCCAAATTTTTTTACTATAATAAACCTATAAAAGTAAAACTTTTATATGAGTTCAACTCCAAGAATATAAACTTCTTGAAAGACTAAAAGCTTTTCATTACTATACTAAAATATTTCTTTTAGGATAACCTAATACCTTTTTGTAAGTAACTATACCATTTTTCATTCCAACTTTCTTAAATATATTTAACGTAATTTAGACCAAAATATTTAAACTATATCCCTGAATAACCAAAATAACTATTTGATAAAGTTGCTCAAAGATATTTTCCTAAATATGTGAATAGTGCATGTGGATACAACTAGCTTTTCCTCCAAAAAGTTTTAACTTAAGAAAGAAAATTATTATGGCTATTTGTATACTAATGACTCATGAACAATGTGTATGTGTATCAATGCTAAGAGTGTTCTTCTTGATTGTTTGAAGCAGATTTCAAGACTATGTCCAAAGATAAGGTGGGTTGAATGGAAATTAGAATCCTTCAATTAGTCCAATATAATCACAAAATACCCTAATGAATGAGCCCTAACTCCTAAAAAAATATTAACTGCAACAACGACAACAACAACAATTATGATTATAATAAAGCGCTTTAGAAGACAGTCCGATGCAGCTTCAGACAATTTTCGATTACCTGTAATGTCCCAACAGTGGTAACACAAACTTTTGACAAAGCACAAGTTTATTTTTACTTAGCGAAAGAGCCTAGTAAAACTTTAGTTAGCTAGCTTAAATAATAAATTAAGATGCGCTCCAGGAAACTTTAATGAACATAACTCATGTCAAAAGAGTGGAAATCAAATTTTCAGCAGTAAAACAATTAAGTTCTAACACTATTGCTCAACCTTATTACATTAGTTGGCTATAACATGATTCAGTTTGGGGATAAGTTATGAGTATAGATAGCTAAGTAAAAATATATGATCGAGCTTCAACACGAACTCCTTTAAATTAGTCATGATGTTGGACTACATATTCTTTGAGGAATAATATGCAATAATCTCTTTGTTGAATATGTAAAATAGTTGTTGAAAAGTTCAAGTTGTTTTTAATGTCTCTTCTTGATTATATAAGAGTTTTAGTTAGATATTACACTTATGGGGTTAGTTGCATTCTCTGTTAAGATGAACCTGACTTAATATCAGTCAAATATGTTAGAATTGAATTGCTAAACTTCTGTCAAATATGTTAGGATTTATGGGGATATATTTTTATTCAACGTTATCTGGCAACTATGAATATGTATGCGTGCATATATAATCAAAGAGTTATTTTCCATTTAATTAAGAGTTACACGCCCAACTATTAAAAGTATTAAACTTATTAATTATTAGTGCTTCAATATTAGTTGTATGTGGCTAAGCATATTACTATTCAAATTTTGTTCATTTCTTGTTATTGATAACTACTTACCTTTACAAGAAAGTTAACTTGAGACATCAGAAAAAGGCTTGAATGGCTAAAGCTACTCATACAAGATTCTATGAAGATGCAAAAGGGATTGAAAATATCCCAGAAACCAGAAAATTAAAACTGAAAATTCTGCGACTTTCAAAGAAGAAAGAAACCAATAATTGACTTCAAAACTTTTTGTTATTCAGTTTAATTTCGAATAATGCATCTTCAGTTTAATTTCCAATCCACCACAAATTATCTAAAATTTATAACAATAAAAGAGCTGGTCATTTATTCTATCCAATTCTTCAAACCCTAGCAAATTTTTCTTATCTCTCCCCATTCCAAAATCTTTTTTTTCACTTCCCCCACCAAAATCCCAATAAAATACTTCTATATCTGTAAATCCTCTAAAGAAATTCAAAACATTAGTGATGACTAAACCCACAAAGTTTCTAGGTAATAAGAATGAGAGAAACTAACCGAGAAGAGGGAATTTTACAGATCTGCGCACTGATACCCGCCTTCGTCGACTGCTCTTTGCCGCCGTCAGTCAATAGGTAAAATGGAAGAAAAATTGGAGAGGAAAAATCTAGAGACAGAGAGAGAGAGAGACAAAGAGATAATTGATAGAATGAATCTTTTTCTTATTTTTAATTTGGGGAAATAAGTATGTTTTCTTAATTTTAATTTGAGTTTCGACTACCACAGTCGCAAACTACTTAAATATATATATATTTGTTTAAATTTTATATTTTCGACCGACGCGGTCAGTGATTGGGTTAACATATTTTTTTGACTTTTCACTTTCCGACTGAATCAGTCACAAATGTGAAGGTGAGAAATTCTCGCGTTGTTTTCTCACTGCTTTAGTCGGAATAGCGGTCGATATTATATTATAAAAATAAGAAAATAAAATTACAATTATTTTCTGACTACTTCAGTCGCATTAGCAACCGCATAATATTCAGTCGCAAATTTCGGTCAGAAAATAGCCATTTACTAGTAGTGTTGGTTTACATTACAATTGGTTTAGCAAAATAATTTATTGAGTACCTCCATTTAATAGCTAAACTATTACTTATGAGAATAAAGTTATCTATATCAGTTTGATATATGTTATATACGAAAGTATATTACATTCTCCCCTTACAAGTGGTTCAGGGTCAAGAACCAAATAATTTTATCTTATTATTAATACCATAACGCACAAACGTGGGTTTTCAAAGTTGAGGAAGCAAGTTAGTTTTTCTAACATGATGGGGGAGAAAGGATAAACAATTGAGAAAAAGTTATGTAGAATGAATTATCATTTTTACATCTAGATCCTCGAATAAGATAATATGAACTTAAAGTTCACAAAAAGATAATTCATCTGCAATATATTACAAAGCATGCCAGACGCATTTGCTGATCCGAAGAAAGTAACTATATTCTTATTGCAAAAGCTCATATTAGAATAAGTCCTAGAAGGACAAAGTCTATAGTACGCTTAAAACGCATAGACAAATCAGTTTCAAATAATTTTTTTGATAAAGAAAATGAGCAAATGATCAAAATAAGGAGGCAAGTGATCTAGAAGATCACATGACATAACATTTCATAAAATCTCAGGAGAAGTTCAGGTACATGAAAATATGAATGAAGAGACTTTATGTTATGTATTTATGAAACAAATATTGGAACCAATATAAAACGTTCGTCGACTACATCTATGATAATGCTAAATATATATGAAGATCTTAAGTCTGGAGAAATAATTCAAGTAGAATTGATTCCATATGAAAAACATGAAGTTTTTGACCTACAGTTCAAACACTTGAAAGTATAAAGTCAACAGAGTATGCAATTACTTTTTATGTCTAGCATGACATGATAACTTAATATGCATCTAAAGTCCATTCATATGGCTTATATGACTTAACTTATATGACAATCCATGAAGGATTTAAATCGCTTAAAGCATATACAATTCTTGGCCCTGAAGTACCACATCATCCTAAGTGCAATTTGTGCACATATGTATCTTGCTATAACTATAAGCATGATAATGTGATCGCGAGAATTTTTATCTCTATGGAGATATTGAAAATGTCATTTCACGACATTATATGAAGACATTACATATCTATCAAGAATGATGATTTCAAGGTGCAACATATTCGTTAAAGTTAATATGGCTGATTTGTTTATCGAATCTCTGTCAACAATCTTTTGAATATAGTGCATAAGTTTGGAATGCGAAAGCTCAAAGATGTGAATTGATGCTCTCATCAGGGGAGTTAATACGCGTTGTACTCTTTTTTCCTTATAAGGTTTTGTCCCACTGGGTTTTTCTGGCAAGGTTTTTAACGAGACAACCAAAAGGCGTATTGTTAGATATGTGTACTCTTTTTCCTTCACTAGAATTTTTTTTCACTGAGTTTTATTTTAGTTAAGGTTTTAATGAGGCACATTATCAGGTGAATAGACATTCAAGGGGGAGTATTATAAATAGTATTTGATTTATGGTGAATGTTTATATTTTAGAGAGATTTTAGGGTTTGTTACTTGGTGGCTAAGTTACTCTTTCCCTATAAATAGAGGGGGTTCTATTCCATTTTAATTCATCCCAAATCAATAAGAATTCTCTCTCTACTTTTCTATGTAATACTCTTATTCTTCTTTTATTGTTTTATAACAATTTTAATTTTTATCTTATTTTAATAAGATAATTTATACTATATAAATTCTTATGATTTATTTTAGATTATAATTTTAAGAGATTTCTTTCTCAGTCAAACATGGCATATAAATTAGGATGAAATGAATAATATATTAGAATAAAGAATTTATTTTAAAAATATTCCCTCTATTCCACTTTATCAACCTACTAATTATTATTTGGAGAGAGTATAATGCTTTCTTTGATCATAATTTTTTATTTTAATTATTAATGATGGTGATTTATTATATTTTATTTTTTAAATATATAAATACTGTTTCGTAAAAGTTAAAAATTTATATTCGAAATCGTAATTTTCGGCTGCATATTCTGAATGGGTCATGTAGAGTGAAACCAGCGAGTAATATTAAGGATATAAAGATTTTTTATTTTGTTTAAATTGTACATAAAACGAATGTGACGATAAACATGATACGCACCAAATGTCAACTAAGTGGGCGTTTGGACATAGAAATTGTAAAATTTTGAAAAAAATAAAAATAAAAATTTAAGTGAAAAGGACATGAATATAATTTTGGGTTGTTTTTTAATTTTTGTGAGTGATCTGAGTGAAAATTTTGAAAAATAGCTTTTTGAGTTTTTAAAATTTTCGAAAAATTTTAAAATTCATGTTCAAGTGAAAATTAAAATTTTTTGAGCAAATACTGATTTTGAAAAATCATAAATATTTTTAGAAAAAAAGTAAAAAACCATTCATGGCCAAACCGGCTCTAAAAATGATTTCTATGTCGGTAGGCTTTGGTGTTCACTTCCCCATAGCCCAGAGGTGGATGACCTTCGACTTTGAAAACTAAAGCTTTGAGAAAACATCTAAAAATAATACGTACCGGATGATGTAATCGTATGTCTAATTGTTACACACTTCAAGATATTTCTAAAAATAATCCTATAAGTTTCATTCAAAATGTTATAGCTCAATGAAAGGACTATTTACGAAAAAAAAATGTTCTTTTCTAGTAATAGTTTGGCGAAACTTCTCCAATTCTAAATTTTTTTTTTCTTTCAAAAAAGTATTTATTTTTTAAAGTTGAAGTGTTTGGCCAAACTTTTTGGAAGAAAAAAAAAGTGTTTTTGAGGAGAAGCAGAAACAATTTTGGAGAAGCAGAAAAAAAAAGTTTCTCTCCAAAAGCACTTTTTTGAAAATTATTTCTGAGAAAAATACACTTAGAAACAGTTTTTAAAAGTTTGGCCAAACATCAATTGCTGCTCAGAAGTACTTTTTAAATTAATTAGCCAAACACAAACTAGTTCTCACCAAAAATACTTTTGAGAAATTTATTTTTTCAAAATAAGCTGATTTTTACAACTTGGCCAAACATGCTATAAGTCACATAAGTTATATGAAGGTACTTTAATACATATACGTGATTTTTCATGATATTTTGATTTGGCAGAATGGAGAATTTTATGTTAATTGAAGTTGGCTGTAAAATTAGGCAGATGCCAATCATTTCGCTACATTATTACTTGGGAATAGGAAAAGAAAGAAGGGAGTTTATACAAAAATTTAAGATGGAGAAAATATATTCTTATGATGAATTTATAGACATTCAGTATTAATCCAAGAATCAACTCTCTATATTTTACTTTACTACTACATATAAATGAGAGTGGGGTGTACGAAAACTCTATTGTACAAACAGTTAGTTGGATTGTACTATAAATTTGGACTTCAGTCATTGGTGAATAAATCTATTTACCTTCTCCAGGGACGTGTATTGTAATTCAATTGCAGCCTTTCAATTTTTTTTTTCTGGGCGGAAACGTGTCTACCATTTGTATTACGTGGGACATCTGGCATGCACTTCTCTTTTATTTCCCATTCTCCTCCTTCCTTCTTACCCTATTGTTTTTGTTTCTTTCCCTTCCTCTCACTTACATCTTTAATCTTTTGTTAGTACTTTTCTCTCTGGAAAAGAGTTGCTACAAGCTGCTTTCCAGAAGAGCGCACCTCCAAGATTCAAGATAACTCTGGTGAGCATTGGTTGGGTTTTCACGATCTGGCTTTATTGCTATTGGTAATTCTTTTGAATATAAATTTTAGCTAAAATCTTAGTTCATATTAGTAATATTACTTGATTTACACCTACTTGATTTACTCTTGGTTTGTATTCATGTTCAGTTAATGAACTTCTGCATAGGGTGGTAATAGCATAAAGAGAAGCTTAGCTAATATAGCTGGTGATTATATGAGATATGACCATTCAGAGTCTGTTCTACGATAAAGAGTTTATTTATCGGCTGAAGCTGGGTAGCCTTTTCCTATTAACTTTTGTGTTGCTAATTTTATATTGCTTGAGTCATATCAAAAAGATCTCTCAATATCAGGCTAAGAATTGCTAGGTGTTTCACAAGACGACAACATTCATTGAGGCTCCACTGTTCTTGCCTTATCTAGTAAGTGACAATTGAATTTTTCTCCTTTTGCTTTATTGTCATGAATTCTAAACTACTGAATGTGCTTCACATTCTGCTTTAATTTAATTGAATGGTAAAGTAATATCTTTCCTCGGCATGCAAGGGAAAACAAGAAGTGAAAATAAGCAGATGTGGTTATTGAAGTTGGAATTAATATGTTACAATTATTGTTTTCAAGGAATGCCGTGTAATAACAAATGCCTGCTATGGCTTCTACACTAACTAATGTTGTGGCCGGTGGAGATAAGCTAAATCAAGGCTTGGCTGACGAATGAGGTAGAGCTTGTGGAGTAGCTTAGAATCAAGAGATGGTCCTTAATAAATGTCATACCATTAGTGAAGTACCTAATAAATAATTAAGCATGTCGACATGTCTGCATCACAGTAGAAGTGTCTTTGGTTCTTGCCTCTGTCTTCATCAGAGGATTCTAGTTAGATGTTTATATACTTATGAAGAAGATTTTTTTAGTTGTGAGGATAACTTTAACTCTCTTGGAGTTACCATCCAATGGGAAAATCTTCCATGAACACCAGCCTAACCAGTTTAGAGCTACTTGATTTTCTCATCAATTGCTCATTTTATTAGCGTCAGGACGTCAAGTGGGACTCACTGTGACATGCATCAATTGTGACACTCGGAAGTTTAGGATATTCTTCATTGTGTGACCTTGCCTCCCTTTTAAATGGATACCAGGGGCGGCTCTAAGGCTTTGGGCAGTGAGGCCATTGCCTTAGGCCCCCAAATTTTGAAGGCCCCAAATTTATTTTAAATTCTTCTTATTATTGTTACTACTCCCTCCGTTTTAATTTATGTGAACCCATTTGACTGGGTACGGAGTTTAAGAAAAGAGAAAAGACTTTTGAACTTGTGGTGTAAAACGAGGCATATATATTTTGTGTGGCTATAAATCATTGTATAAAGGTAAATTGTTTCCAAATAAGGAAATTCTTTTTGGCACGGACTAAAAAGGAAATAGGTTTATATAAATTGAAACGGAGGGAGTATTATATATTATATAATTTATATAAATAATTAAAATAAAAAAAGTGTTACAGTATATTTTTTGTTACTTGATTGAGATTATTTTATACAATAAATTTATAAATTATGATAAATTTCTTCCCTCATTAATTAGTATATTTGACAAGAGTGGGTTGCTCTGGTGGTGAGCACCCTCCACTTCCAACCAAGAGATTGTGAGTTCGAGTCACCCCAAGAGCAAGGTGGAGAGTTCTTGGAGGGAGGGAGTCGAGGGTCTATAGGAAACAGCCACTCTACTCTAGAGTAGGGGTAAGATTTGCGTACAAACTACCCTCCCAAGACCCCACTAGTGAGATTATATTGGGATTAAGGGCCTCCGAATATAGTTTTACCTTAGGCCTCGAGATCCGTTGAGCCTCCGAATATGGTTTCGCCTTAGGCCCCGAGATCCATTGAGCCTCCGAATATGATTTCGCCTTAGGCCCCGAGATCTGTTGAGCCACCCTGATGGATACTTCTAAAGGCAAACTTTTGGCTGCAAAAGGCGATATAAGTATTTGCAAATCTAAAACATGAGAACATTGTGGTAGATGTTATCGTACCATTCTAATCTTTTGTATTTAATTAGAATGCTTTTATGCTGCATGTTTTAAGCATGTTTTGATGGACGAATTAGCAGGCATTATCGTCTACTTGCATTTGACATAACAACTCATATGTGCGTGCACTTCTTAGGACAATTTGAGTTTATATTATTTCATATAAGATAGGCTTTGATTTTGATTTCGAAAATGACAGGAAACTGAAATACCGTCTTTAAGAGTCATTCCAGAAGCAAAATTGGACGATGCAGAATGGATACGCGTCAGGCAAGAACAACTCATGCTCATTGACGAGAAAAGAATGGGTGCAGTATGTCATGGACAGCTATACCAGAACAAGATGGCTAGTGCATTTAACAAAAGAGCGAAGTCTCGCCAATTCACGCCAAGGTAGTTGGTTCTGAAGAATTTTTTTTCCCATCAAGAAGAAGCTAAAGGGAAGTTCGCACCGAACTGGCAAGGTCCTTATGTGGTCCACAGAGCACTGTCTGGTGGAGCTCTAATCTTAGCAGAAATGGACAGAAGAGTCAACACGAAGCCAATCAACTCGTACGCAATCAAGAGATATTACGCCTGAAGACAGATAGGGTTAGGATTTTGATGTATTAGAACTACATTCAACCTGACTTCCCACGGAGGGATACATAGGCAACCCGCGTAGGGTTCAGTTTCTCTCTCCCCTTTCTCTTGTAATAGAAAAACCAAATGTCATTTTGTATGTTGTTCAGGAACTACGCCGACTTGATTTCCTCATAGAGGAATACATAGGCAATCCTCAACGGATTCAGTCGTCTTTTGTAATTAAAATACGTTCTGGCCTGATTCCACTTGGATATGTAGGCTGTCCGAGTCAGATTCGGCCATTTTCATTTCTTAATCTCATTATTTTATATATGTTGTAATCGAACTACGTCCCGACCTAATTCCGTTTTGGATACGTAGGCTGCCTGAGTCAGGCTCAGTCGTTTTATCGCATTTCATCATTATCCCATGAACTACGTACAGACCTGATTCCGTTTTGGATATGTAGGCAACCTGAAAGAGTTCAGTCATAACCTTAAGAAACCTCTATGATGCATTAGTCTTGATTAGGACGGAGTCGCAACAACAAGTAGCTGCATTGTCAGAGACACCATGGAAGATCGACATCAACGGGACGAAGTTCTTAGGAAAATGAGTTCGCATGCGGAGAACCCTTTGTAACATGTCATAATCCGGAACGACGACATTTGCCTTAAAAAAACAAGTATTTTCAAAATATTTTCTAAAAAATTATAAAGTAATCTGTTCCATCTACCGAACTCCGTGGTGCAATCATGTCAAAGGCTGGGGAAAATCAATACCATGGTCGATGCAAACCAACTTTCCCCCCTCCCCTACTAAGAAGTTTTCTTTGAGTGCATGGTCAACAGAGAGTAAAGAATAGCTGGGACCACACTGGGGCAAATGACGGACCCGTCACTTGCCTAAGATTATCCCTTCTCCTTTTACTTTAAAGTTTTGAGAACAGCTGAGGCTAACTCTTGAATCATTTGCAGGTGCTTCGGAATCAGATAACTAATGTGGAAATTTGTAAGTAGCAAACCGTATGCTCAATCAATCAGAGCACCTTATACAAATCGCACGACAACTTCGTTCATCGAAGTCCTGTAAATAGCAAACCGTCTGCTTAATCAATCGGGGCACCTTGTACAAATCGCAAGACGACTTCGTTCATCGAAGTCCTATAAATAGCAAACTGTCTACTCAATCAATCGGGGCACCCTGTACAAATCGCACGCCAGTTTCACCTATTGAAGCCATGTATATAGCAAACCGTCAGCTCAATCAATCGGAGCGCCTTGTACAAATTGAACGCCGGCTTCGCCAACTGGAGCCTTGTATATAGCAAACTGCAAACTTTGCCAATGAAAAGCAATCCTCAGCACCGCCCCGTCAATCATGAATGCCAGAATAGACAATCGCAAACCTCGTTACCAACGTTCCGCCAATCGATGGCCGCAACTTAGCTTCGCTGTCAAGAGTATCTCTTGGGCATGCTTATATTTTATTTCGCTGTCACCTTAAATGTTTAAAAGTTTTGTTCGTGCAGCTTTAGGCATGATTACGATTGCTCCTGAACGGAGATTACTTTACATTTTTTAGTGCAAAGCTCTCCCAACAAGCGGAGACGCATTCTGCAAATCAAGCTCTCCCAACAAGCGGAGACATTTCTCAATGCAAAGCTCTCCCAACAAGCGGGGACACACTTTACCAATCAAGCTCTCCCAACAAGCGGGGACACACTTTACCAATCAAGCTCTCCCAACTAGCGGAAACAGTTTTCAAAATGCTCTGACAGTTGCAGAACGGTACTCGGCCCGGCTAACAAATCGAGTCAGGATCAAGAATCCCATCATCCCAATCCTAAATAACGGCTCGCCGGCAACCATGCATCATTATTCCTGCATCATTTACATCGCATATAACTCAACAACTACAACCGCTTTTACTTCAGGTATTAGTCAACAACTCCACGAGGTACCGAACCTCGGACAAATCACAACTCACGGTCTCAATACCTGAACCCTAACACTTGGCATCCAGCGCCCTCATAATATCTCATAACCGTACTGACGACTCATGTGCCAATAGAGCCATTCTAACATAGAAGGAAAGTAAACAAGGGTGAGCATCTATGCTCAACAATATCAAGAATACCTCTTATCCGATAAGAGTGCTTAACTATGTGTATGCTTGTGCAAGTGTCCTACCATAGTCTATATCAGCAAATAAGCATAAGGAAAAAAAAAAGAACGGACAACACGTAGAATATTTTCTCACAGCTTTCACAAGATAAAGCTCACACAAGTACGTATATCACTACACAAATATCAACAACAAGAATGCCCCCAGGCCATAAATCATCACAAATCAATCCCTGACACAACCCACCTTATCTCGCCACGTGTGCAATAGTAACATAAATGCCCGCCTTATCTCGCCACATGCGCAACACACACACACACACACACACACACACACACATATATATATATATATATATATATATCCCGGCTTGTCACGCCGCATGTGCAAATATCAATAGTAACAATAGCTCGTCAGAAACCTCGTGCAACCCCATAACAACAACCGCACGACAGAAACCTCGTGCATCACAATAACTACAATCGCACGACAGAAACTTCGTGCATCACAATAACAACAACCGCACGGCAGAAACCTCGTGCATCACCACAAGAAGTACAACAACAACAATGACAATAATATAAAGTACGATAAGTAAATGAACTCAAGAACTTTAAATCCCAAAGAAATGGTAGAACCAAATCACAAGGAATAACCACAGTAAAGGATGTTAGGCATAAAGAGAATAGCTCAACAAGGGAAAACTAATATGTAGTAACGATCCAACAATATATATTTTAACAACAGGGAAGCTTACACGAGTCAAATAATTCCAAATAAAACAAGTCGACTAAGATGTAGGATATCTAACTTCTTTTAAGGTTGAGAAATTACGAAGGATATTCAACAATTCAATTAAGGATAAGCAGCGGAAAGATAATTATAAACTCAATTAAGATTGAGTAATTATAGGATGAGATAATAATAATTTCAAATAAAGATAAGCAGTTATGAAAACATAGCATGACAATAGAAGAGGTAAAATCTTCAGTTAAGTCAAATAGGAGTCAAATAGGTAATAAGAGTGAATCCTGAAGCAATTAATTCAAATTAAAGCGTGTAGAGGTAAAACTAGTAAATAGGAACTTAATCATATCAAGAACAATTTCATATTCCATGAATATAAGGACCTAAGAACCCTAAAAGGCCAACTTTCCCACAAATAAGTCTGAGTACGCACTCGTCACCTCGCGTACGTGGACTACAATCAACAAAGAAGACTCAAATCCTAAGGGGAAATCACCCACACAAGGTTAGGCAAGATACTTACCTCAAAGAAGACAAACCAATACTCAAAAATAAACTTCTCGGGAGAAATGACCTCCGGACGACTCAAATCTAATAAAAAATAACTTCAAAGCACAAGTGAAACTCATAAGAAACTATTCCGGATCATAAAGCTTCAATCTTTATCAAAATCTAAAAATCGGTCCAAAAGTCGACCCCCGGGCCCGCACTTCGGAACTCGACATATTTTATAAAACCCGAACACCCATTCCGATACGAGTTCAACCATACTAAAATTATCAATTTCCGATACCAATTCGTCCCTCAAATCATGATTTTTTATTTTGAAAATTTTCTTCAAAAATCACCATTTAAACAACTCAAAACACAAATTAAATGATAAAAATAAAGATAAAATCATGGAATATAATAAATTCTAGGTGAAGAACACTTACCCAATCGATTTTCTTGAAAAACTCACAAAGAATCGCTCAAAATCGAGCTCTACAAGTCCAAATGTGATAAAAATGGCCTAACCCTCGATTTGGAAATCTTATACTCTGCCCAGGTCTGAAAGCATCGCGGACGCGGAGAAAGGGACGCGTTCGCGAAGAAGAAAAACAAAAGCTGCCATTTGTTCTTCACGAACGCGACAACACGTTCGCGAACGCGAAGAGGAAAAATATGATGGCCCAATGACTGCTCTTCGCGAATGTGTGAAGTAGTACGCGAACGCGAAGAGGAAAATGATCACTAGTGCCCGGGGCCTGGTTTGCACTTCGCGAACGCGAGATAGGGAATGCGAACGCGAAGAAGGGGGTGGCAGAACTTCGCGAACGCGAGAGGGTGACTGCGAACGTGAAGAGGAAATATTTCACCCTCCAAAATAACACTACGCGAACGCGAAGGCAAGGACGCGAACGCGATGAAGGAAACCAGATGACAGATAACAACAATTCAAAATAGGAGGAAATGACCCATAGCCCATCCGAAGCTCATTCGAGGCTACCGGAACCCCGTCTAAACATACCAACAAGTTCCATAACCTTACACGGACTCGCTCGAGGTCTCAAATCACATCAAACAACGCCGAAAATACAAATCGCACCACGAATCGAACTTATGAACTTCCAAAACTTTCAACTTTTAAAACTCGTGCCGAAACCTATCAAACCCACTTGGAATGACGTCAAATTTTGCAGGCAAGTCCCAAATAACGTAACGGAGCTGTTCCAACTCTCGGAATCGCATTCCGACCCCAATATCAAAGAGTCCACTTCCGGTCAAAATCTCCAAAAATTTGACTTTCACCATTTCAAGCCTAAATCAGCTACAGACCTCAAATTCACAGTTCGGACACGCTCTAAGTCTAAAATCTCCCAAGAATCGTCTCGAAGTCTTCAATTCACTGAAGACACAGATCCAACATACACTCAAGGGGGACCCCACGTCACCCCAATTCCCATAAGCCTGATGACACCACCCCAACTGTAATTTATCCGTTCTATCAACACCGATAAGCCTTAGAGTAAAAAATTCTCACCTTCCATTTATCTTCAAAAGACCTGATTCTAAATCCATAACCGGTATCAGTCTCAACCAGCTATAACAACTCATGCCTACACCCACAAGGTACGACCACACAACATGACACACAACACATAGGCCCATAATAACAATTCTAATCACAATAGCTACCCGAAATCAAAACCAGCACCGACAATTAGCCTCGTATCCGTTAGCAACCCGTTTCAAACCTCCACAACGCTGACAATGATGCAAGAAACATGAAGACCTCATAACTATACACTCGGATCAACAAGTCACAACTGACACCCCTGGACACACACCCCGCAAACTAAAACTCAAATAAGCACACGACGAAAATGACTGAATATGTAAAGAAAAACACATAAGAGAAATATCAAACAAGCCCGA